CCCATAGTTCTGGTTAAAGTGGATATTTCCATGTCACGTCGACTTTCATCCCGGCCTGATGGTCCCCAGCAACAGAGCTGGTCAGGAAATGTGGATTGTGGGGCCATGAGTGTAAACCTAAAGGTATTCCAGCCCACTCTTAGGGTATAACTCGTGAGGTTGGGAGCAAGATGAAGGGCAGAGAAGCCCCAGCTGGAGTGGGTGGGAGGAAGAAGAGGAGGAAGGTTTGCTGTCAGCACCAGACACGATGTGGTTGGTGCAAATCCTGCTCTACCTGTCCCAGCTTTAGCTGAGAAAGCCTTGGTTGAAACGTGGCCGGGAGGGAGCTGGAGGTGCACCCATCCCCAGTGCTCCCATCCATCCAGGGTACCTCCATGTGGGAGCAGATGTTCTGTACAGAGACACCTAACATGGGAGCAGCGTGGGGTTTGAGCACTCACAGAGGAGCAGGGCTGGCACCAAAGAAGGAGAAGGCTGGGGTGAAAGGCCCTTGACTTGGCACATTCCTCACAATCAAGGCTGAGGTGAATATCAGCTGGGATGAAGGGCCCAAATTCCAGCCCTAGGTGATGTAAAGATGATCTAAATGATGCTCTCGGACACAGACTTCTTTGGCTCCCAGGAAGCCAACCAGCAAGAGTCACAATGGAGAAGGACAGCAGAACCAGTTCTGCTCATGATGAATCCAAGGGAAGAGCATCCAGGATGCGAAGAGGCAAGAAAGGAAGGACTTCAGCATCCAGAACAGCAGCACGGCTTGCAAAGCACATGGAGGAGCTCTGTTCTGCTCCTTTGCTGAGTTTCTTTGGTAGCTTTAGGCATGGTTGTCGATGTGTTTGCTTAAAGCTCTTAGGTCTCTGACTGTTGAGTTTTAAAGCTCCTTCCAAGCCCAGATGGTTGTGGTTGTGGCTGCTCCCAGGAGATGCTGATTTCAGTCTCTCTCTTGAGGTCAGCGGGTTTTCTTGTGAGCTTTGAACTTAGTCAAGTCAAGTTGGAGACGAATGAGCTGGGGGTGTTGCTGTTGCTGTTTGAAGTGTAAATAAGGGACTGAAGGATGCTGATTTCCACATTTAGCCTCCTATAACCTCTCTGCACCTCAGTTCCATTGCCCTGAACGTATCCTTCAGGACCACGAAGGCTCCGGCTGCTCAGGAGATGTGTGCCATGTAAAGAGCAGTGTCCAGGATGCAGATGACCTCTTGGGAGACAACGTTTTATCCTCTCAGCAGAGCCTTACCACTGGTAAAAGCAAACGTTCCCTACTCACCAGCTGCCCAACACAGCTGCAGAGTGGGTGAGTCTCCTCCATATTTGCACAGTGATCAGCTAAAGGGAAGCAATCTCCGGAGGCCCTCCCGTAAATAAACATGATTAGTAACAATTAAAACCCCATTACAGCTCTAATTACAGCCAATAGAATGCCACCTGGATTCATTCCCCAATAAGCTCGTAAAATATCGCACCTATTATGTTGCTTTCTGTGTTCTAATGAAAGGAATATTGCACCATTCACACTCAGGTTATGGGATAGACACCTACCTGCTCTCCCCTGCTCCCAGCAGCATCCTGCACATGCAGCCTCAACGTCCAGGGCTACCCTCACACTCAATGAGTCCTGCTATTCCTCCAGTGCATGGCCAAGGCCCTCTTTGGCTCCCAAAGGGCTCTGCAGTGTTCACCCAGTTTTGCTTTTGAGATCTTCTTTGTGTTCCACCTCAACAAGACTTGATGGAACTAAGAGTGTCCCATCAGAGGGACCCAACTGCCCTCCAAGCCATAGGGCATGTGGGTCTTGCACTAGACCCACACTTGGTGGCTGGGCAGATCCACCACCCCAGCCTGCACCTCGGAACCCCACATTACTCAGACTCAGTGATAGAGGCTCAGTGGTAGAACCATTTGCCACCTCACTGTGAACTCCAATCTCAGCAAGGCAAAACTGATGTGAGGACACAGGCAGGTTCCCAGAGCACCCAACCCGAGCCCAGGGGGGCTCCTGGGGCAGGTTTTGTATCTCCACAGATTGTGCCTTTTCCTGTAGAAAAACAGGACTTACAAACCAAAAAATCCCACAATAATTAAGTATTTTTTTATCCTTTATGTCCAAAATGGCAACAGCTTTACCTAGAAACACTGAGGAAGTGTCATCACTTGGTCACACTGAGGCTGTTTCACAAGGAAATTCACTCATTCGAAGCAAAACAGGCCCCTTGCTGCAAATATGGATCTACTGGTCCACAGGAGCAAGCAGCCACCCCAGTGCCACGTGGAGCAGATGAAGGGCAGCCTTCATGGGCTGCTGTGATCATCCATCCGAGCGTGAGGCACTTGGGCAATTAATGTTACTGCCTTTTTCATGAGCATAGCAGATGGGAAAGATAAACTCCGTGTTAGAGCCTGGAAAAACTCCAGGACAAACTCAGGGAACTCTTAAAAGCCTGTGGTTTCCTGCAGGGTGCAGCCTGCATCCGTGGCCTCCTGGGGTTCGGCACCTGGAGATCTTCCATCTCTCTGCCATCCTCCCAAGGAACTCCCCAAGGATGCACTAGGGCTTTGCACCACCTTGGTCTGTCCTTGGAGTCCTTGCTGGGATGAGGAAGGAGGAGATGCCTCCTTGGTCTCTCCCATCCCAACCCATAAACTTGAGAATCAGAAGTGTCATTGTTTAGGCAAGCAAGAGCATGAGGCACATCGCAGCCTGTTGTAAACAGCAGATGAGGGAGTCACCTGAAAGAATGTGGAGGAAAAGAAGATCAGCATGAAAGTAACATTGGAACCATAGAATCCCAGACTGGTTTGGGTTGGAAGGAACCTTAAAGCTCACCCAGTTCCAACCCCCTGCCACAGACCTTCCACTAGACCCATTTGCTCTAAGCCCTGTCCAACCTGGCCTTCATCACTGCCCGGGATGGGGCAACAGCTCAAACAAGAACCATCATTTCTCCCTCATTTCACTTCGATGGGCAGGCCTCTGCGAGATGGATCTTCCCCACTTCCATACCTCCATCTGACCAGGACAACATGCAGGGCTCAGTGCAGCCGGGGTTGATTCACCCACCAGCCTGGCTCTCGCTCCTCCCACCGCTGCAGGAGAGCCCAGCCAAGCATTAATCAAATTAATCTGGTTGCAATGGGGTGTTATTTATGAGGTCTAATGACTAACCTGGAGCTGTAATAGCAGGTTCCAGGTTGTCTCATGCTTTCACGCTGCTTTTCTTCGTGAGTAATTTGTGTCCACGCAGCGTCTTCAGGTGCTGGTGTCCATGTAGGAGCCCGGCTCGTCAGGTAGATGGTGCTGCTTGCCCTTGTGCCAGCCAAGGCTGGAGGACAACCACTCTTCCCACTGCAGACCTCTGGTTGGTGTCCTCCAACCATCACATCCCGGTGGCCACATTCAAACTGCCACCATCCAGCTGCCACATCCCAACAGCCATGTTCAAACCAGTCCTAGTTCAGCTGCCACATCCCAATGGCCACATCCCAATGGCCACATCCCAATGGTCATGTCTAAACCACCCCAGTCTAACCAGCACATCCCAACAGCCATGTTCAAACTGCCACATCCCAATGCCTATGTTCAAACCACCACATCCCAAAAGCCACATTTAAACCATCACATCCCAATGGCCGTGTTCAAACCACCCCAGTCCAACCACCGCATCCCAATGGCCATGTTCAAAGCACCCCAATCCAACCACCACATCCCAATGGCCATGTTCAAACCACCCCAGTCCAACCACCGCATCCCAATGGCCATGTTCAAACCACCCCAGTCCAACCACAACATCCCAATGGCCATGTTCAAAGCACCCCAATCCAACCACAACATCCCAATGGCCATGTTCAAACCACCCCAGTCCAACCACAACATCCCAATGGCCATGTTCAAACCACTCCAGTCCGACCACCACATCCCAATGTCCATGTTGAAACCACCACATCCCAACTGCAATGTTCAAACCACTCCATCCCAACAGCCCCGTTCAAACCAATACCAGTCCAGCTGTCAGATCCTAATGGCCATGTTGAAACCACTCCATCCCAACAGCCATGTTCAGACTGCCCCAATCCAGCTGCCACAAGTACCATGTTCCGACCATGTTCAAACCATCACGTTCAGACCACCATTTTCAAACCATTACATACAAACCATCACATACAAACCATCATGAGCAAACTTCTCTCATTCATTGCCACGTCCCAACCACAATATCATAGAATCATGGAATGATTTGGGTTGGAAGGGACCTTAAGCTCATCCAGTCCCAACCCCCTGCCACGGACAGGGACCCCTTCCACTGCAGCAGCTTGCTCCAAGCCCCTGTGTCCAACCTGGCCTTGAACACTGCCAGCGATGGGGCAGCCACAGCTTCTCTGGGCACCCTGTGCCAGCGCCTCAGCACCCTCACAGGGAAGAGCTTCTGCCTTATCTCCAACCTGAACTTCCCCTGTTCCAGTATGAACCCATCACCCCTTGTCCCATCGCTCCAGTCCCTGATACAGGTCCTTCTCCAGCATCCTTGTAGCTCCCTTCAGATACTGGAGTGTCCTCACTGGTGGCCCTGTCTGCCTTACTCATGTGGCACCCATCAGCTGAGGGCTGGACACTTCATCCTGCTCTGTGTGGAATGAGCCCAATAACCCCTCAACTCATGGCCACCAGGTTGACATCTCATGGCCCCTTCCTGTGCCACACTCCTCAGAGCCATGGCTCTCCCACCCCACAGAGAGATGGAGAGGCTACTGTGGAGGAGCAGGAGGAGGGAGAAGAACCATCTTCCTCCTCCTCCCCTCAGCTGGGCAGTTCTTGGTGCTCAGTGATTTGAACCATGGGACAGGGCGCCATTGCCATTCCGTATGGTGAAGACACCATTACCATTCCTTATAGTGAAGGCACCGTTGCCATTCCTTATGGTGAAGGCACCATTGCCATTCCTTATGGTGAAGACACCGTTGCCATTCCTTATGGTGAAGAGCAAAGGGTGTTTTCCCTCCCCTGGGGACCATTAAGTGATGAGACAACACAAAGAGATCTTTTCATCTGTCTGCAGTTTATTGGTAATGAAGAACTCGGAGGAGAGGGGTGCTGGTAGGAAGCAGCCATGCAGCAGGGTTCACGCAACAGAAGGGCTGCAATAAGGCCATGCATACGTCAGGTGTGAAGAAGAGGGAAAGGGATCTATAAAACATTAAAGCTGCCAAATTACTCCACCAAGGGGAGGTGGACGTCTCAGAGACCTGTTTCTCACTCCCAACTCTGACTATGAGACATTATCACGTTTCTTCTGCTTACATGAGTGCCTGATAGAGCTGAAACAAGCATGTGGGTGACATGCAGGACACGCGGAGGCGCAGGGGACACGCGGCCATTGAAAAAGAGACCTTGAAAAGTGACAGGAAAGAGCCCTTTTCGACACGCTCCTCCTCAGCCACAGCAGCAGCCGGGGGGGCAGCAGCAAGAAGCGCAGCGAGGGATGCTCAGACGGGCGCTGGAACGCACAGGGGAGATCTTCCACCCCTGGAGCTGGTGGGGCTCCAAGAGGAGCTGGGTTCCACTGCAGACCCCCCCTCCTTGGGCAGGGTGACTTCTGAGCTATAGGGGGAACAGTTCATTTCGTTGCTGGGCACCGGTGAGGGTGGCAGGGGCTGTGCTGCGGGCTGGAGGGAGGGGACGGCGCTGCTCTCCTTGGTGGGGCTGAGGGCAGGGCTCAGTATTTTACACCCGAGGATTTGACTGTCGTGGTGGTGACGCATCTCCGCACCGAGGAGGATCCAGCCCCGGGCATGAAGTTGCCACCTCCAGGGTTGCAAATCCTCCCGCTTCCAGAGGAGAAGCCGCTGGTGAGGATCGCTCCTCCCAAGCCACAGTTGCCTCCGATGATGTTGGGTGCTCCGACCACGCACACTCCTCCTCCCAAGCCGTTGCTGGGGCCAAAGCCGCAGGGTCTGCCTCCGACCACGGAGCCTTTGCCTACCACAGCTGCAAGACAAGGACAGGGTGGGTGAACATCAAGTGACCCCTCATGAAACCCAGGTAAAAGCCATTCTGCAGAAGGGAAGATGGGCAGATACTTACAGACATTGACGTTGGATGGGTTATCGAAACAGAGCCTGTGTAGGGAAAGGAGCACAAGTTGTAAACCTGATCTAACAGACAGCAGTTCAGCTCCATACAACCTCCAAGTGCTCATCTTATCTCCTGTTGCATTTAACAGAACCAAAACCACTGAGGAACATTTCCTGTGGGGACCTCCTTGCTATTTTAGGCTGAAAAACTTGAGGAAGAACTGGAAGATTCCAAGATTAAAAGGGCTCAGCCTGTCCCAGGGAATACCTCAGCCAGGCCAACAGGACAGGAGCTCTTACCTGTTCTCCTCTCCCTCCAGCAGCTTCCTGTACATGGCAATCTCAACGTCCAAGGCAATCTTGATGTTGAGCAGCTCCTGGTACTCCTTCAACAAGCGAGCCAGCTCCTCCTTGTCTTTGCTCAGGGCACATTCCAGCTCTTCCAGTTTCCTCCTGGCATCCTTCAGGGCCATCTCACCCCGCTCCTCGGCCTCAGCAATTGCTGACTGCAGCTGATGGTTCTGAGAGAAAGAAGAGCAGTTTCTCAGTGCCCTCAGGGCACAAATGGGATGGAAACAGGCAGGAACCATCAATCTGCTTGTCGTGGTTTAAACCCAGTCAGGTAACTTGTTCACTCACTCCCGGTGAGTGGTGCCAAGCTGACAACAATCAAGGTCCGTGTTCGTCTCCCCCCCCTCCCTGCACCGGGGCTCTCCCCTTCCCCGCTCCCGGAGGAACGGGGAGGAGGATCGAGAGAGTGCAACTCCTACGGGTTGAGACAAGAACAGTCCAGCAACAAATCACCACCGCTACTATCAGCTAAAACAATGGTAAGGGAAAATAACAAGGGAAGAGAATACGATACCACCGGCCAAGAAAACGAGTTCCACCCGGAAGCTCCTGTCCTTCCGGGTAACTCCCAGTTACCCCTCACCCCGGGCATGACGTGCTGTGGTATGGAATACCTCCCCGGCTAGCCCGGGTCAGGCGCCCCGTCTCTGCTTCCTCACAGCCTCCCCTCCTCCCTGGCAGAGCATGAGCCTCACAGAGTCCTTGGTCAGGGTAAACATCACTCAGCAACAACCGAAAACATCGGCCTCACCAACGCTGTTCTCAAAACTAGAAGTCAAAACACAGCACTGCACCAGCTAACACAAAGGAAAAAACATGACTGCTACTGCTGAACCCAGGACACTGCTCCAAAGGAACTGGATTCCAATGACTGTGTTTCCCTCACACGTTCCTCCCTGGCTCACCACGATGACGCTGAGGAGCCCCTACCTGCTTCTTGACGTTCTCAATCTCAGCCCGCAGCCTCTGCACGTTCCTGGTCAGCTCCTGGATCTCAATCTTGGTGTTGCGGAGGCTGTCCCCGTGCCTTCCAGCAGTGTTCTGCAGCTCTTCATACTGATGGCACAAAACAACCCATCGGTGACACCAAGAACTCAGCTGGTTCCTCTGCTCTGCATCCAACAGCAGAAACAGTTCCAGGAGCCTTTACTACATCGCAACTCACCCTGCTCTGGTACCAAGCCTCGGCTTCAGCTCTGCTGTTCTGGGCGATCTGTTCGTACTGGCGTCTGACCTCCTCGATGATGCTGTCCAGGTCCAGGTGCCGGTTGTTGTCCATGGACACCACCACAGACAGGTCCCGGCTGATGGTCTGCATCTGAGCCAGCTCCTACAACCAAGACAGCAGTCAGCCTGAGCATCTGAGGAGGGCACAGAGGAGCAGCAGCTCCAAGCAGCCTCTGCAGACCAAATCCAATGGACACCCAGTCCCACCCCAGTGTCTTTGGCCACCACACTGCACCTGCAGCCAGCTCATGGGTAGGGGAAGCTCTTACCTCCTCATAGATGCACCTCAAGAAGCTGATTTCATCTGTCAGAGCTCCCACCTTGGCTTCCAACTCTACTTTAGTCATGTAGGCACAGTCCACATCCTAAAGGAAAGATCACAGATACAGACATCAGCTTCCTCCCACCCCCGCACCATCCTGTTGCTTCCCCTTTACAACATCTTTGCAGCCTCCTCTACTATGCCTCTGTTACTCACCTTCTTGAGCACCACGAACTCATTCTCAGCAGCAGTACGCCTATTGATTTCTTCTTCATACCTATTGAAGAGGACAAGACCACATGAGCAACCTGCTCTAGTGGAAGGAGCCCCTGCCCGTGGCAGAGGCTTGAAACTGGATGAGCTTTAAGGTCCCTTCCAGCCCAAACCAGGCTATAAGTCTCTTGCAGTCATCAGTCAACCACAGAACCCCCCTTCCCTCAGCCCCATTTCTCCAGAGCTCCTCAGCAATGGGAAGCCTGTGGGAATGCCCAAGCTCTGCTCTCCAGGCTGCTTGAGCTGCTTCCTGAGCCTGCCAGGGCACTTACTTGGTCTTGTACTCCTCCACGTATTGCCGCATGCTCTGCAGCTCCGCCTCGAGCTGCCCCCTCTGTCCCAGAAGAGACTCCAGCCTCCTCCTCAGGTTCTGGATGTAGTTTTCAAAGATGACATCAAGGTTCTTCCTTGGGCCCATTGGCCCTTGCTGCTGGAGCAGCTCCCATTTGGTGGCTAGGACCTTGTTCTGTTGCTCCAGGAAGCGGACCTGAAAGCCCACCAAGGGATGTGTGAGATTCATATGGGGGACATCACACAACTCAAACTTCCTCTTGCTGATGTGGGAGACCAAGGGAATCACTTCCCAGATTCCCACTATGACTATGGCTGGTTAAAAGCCACTTTCCAAGAGGAAGATTCCTCTTTTCTTCCTGTTTTTTTCAACTATCCTTGAATTTCTCTTCTTTTCTCCTTCATTTCTGCTCTACTTTGGTTCTCTATGGGAACATCACATTCCAGTATTACAGTTTTGTCATTTCCAATTGCAAATTCTGATCTGGAATTCATTTCCGGAAGCATCAGATCATCACTTTTACCTTCCAGTGAAAGAAATCCCACATCAGGATCTCAATAGTGGAAAACATTCCTCTTAGCAGATACGAGAGGAATTCAGTATTCATGTCATGCATTGAAACAACTCTGAAGCATGTTCTCAACCAACGTTCTCCCAGTGCAGGAACAATAAAGAGTACTCAACTGTACTTGAACCGAAGTAAAGAACAGCCAGGAATGAACTCAAAGCCCTTCCTGACATTCCAAGTCCCTCAAGAAGAACAAACCCTTGAAAAGCATGAACTTAAAGGATAACTGAGTGTATCACGACCACTTTGGCCTCAAAGAACACAAGAGAAAAGCAAAGCAAGAGGTCGGATCAACCAAACCCAGAGAAAGTCCTTTGGTTTCTCTGTGGATGGAAGGTTATTACATTGCCTCAGGACTCAGTGCAAGCACCACCAGCCTTCCAGAGCTGCCCACACGGAGCTGTGAAGGACAGGATTCCCCTCTCCACAGCACAGGAAAGCTCCTCAGAGTCCCCATCCCCAAGCAAATACAGTTCCAGCCTCTCACCTTGTCAATGAAAGAGGCAAACTGATTGTTAAGAGTCTTGATCTGCTCCTTCTCCTGGCACTTCACTTGTTGGATCTGAGGGTCAATATCAACATGGACCGGCCGCAGGAGGGTTGGGTCAACCTGCACCGGTTGGATGCCTCCAGGGAACCCAGGACCACCTCTCACAGGACCACCAAAGCCACCTATTCCTCCACCAATGATACCTCCTCCAATGCCGCCAAATCCTCCTCCAAAGCCTCCACCAAAGCCACCAATTCTACATCCATATCCACCGCCAAAAGAGCCACCCATGGAAATCCTTCCGTTGCCACCCATGTTATGGAGGCTCCTGCTGCTAAAACCTGCACAACGTCCATTGCCTCCAAATCCCCTGGATGTGGAGAACGAGCTATAGCTGATCCTGCTTCTGCCCCCACATCCTCCAAAGCCACCACCGATGGCAGAGCAAGAGCTGAATCCCCTTTTGCTTCCGCCTCCGAAGCTTCTGCAGGTTGACTGCCGAGACATGGCCGGTTCTTCCAAGCGGAGTCGAGGAGAGCAGAAGGACCAAGGGAGCTGTGCTGCTGCGGGATGAGCGCGGAGAGAAGTGTGCACAGTCTTCTCTGGCTCCACAGCTCCAGGCATTCCCTTTTATCTGTTCCTGGAGGTGGGCTGGGTCTGCAAGGGCGTGAAGAGGAAACAAATTTACTGTCTTCATCAGCTTGGTGCGGTTAACAGATTTTTGCCAAATTGTTGACTCCACCCAGAAATACGCTTTGCAATGCAGAAGAGAATAAAAGAGCAAGAGCATTGGAACAGGTCTCAGTGAGTAAGTGGACTCTTATATCTTTATGGCATCAGGAAAACTCTGTTTTACAGGGATGTAGTCATGTTCTTCCCTCCTCCCACCTTTCTCCCTGTTCTTAATGATTTTGCAGTTTGTCTGGAGCTGCATCTTTTGCCCTGACGCCTCGTGTCAGACCAGCTTTTTGGTGCAAAACAACCGGGATGAGGCTTTCACAACTCCCCCAAGCACACCCCAAATCTCCTGCTTAAGTGGAAAATTGCCGATGGCTTTCCAAGAGGCAGTTTCCCTGTGCCGAGCAAAACCACCACACATTAACATTTAACAACGGTCAGCATTTCTCTTTTATCCAGAAAGGAGGTGCTTGGTTCCTTTCCTAAGAGCATCACTTGGGATGGGAGTGCCTGCTTCCAGGGCACGTTCCTGCAAAATGTGTCTCCCAGAGTCTGAGCTACCCAAGTACCGAGACTCGGAGCACCAGAGTGGAATGAGCAGGAGAACCAGGATGTCCAAGCTCCTTCCTTGTGCGTTTCTGATGGCCACAGGGATTGCTGAACCTGCGAAGGACGGAAAGGACACTTCGGGCGCTACACGTGGTGATGATGACTGGAGACAAATAGCAGAGAACTGCAGGCAAAGGTGACAGCGGCTTCTTAAAATGATGTCTTTTTACTTGATTTGGTAGGCAAATGGTGCAGCTGAGCTCATCATATTGATCAGTTAGAAATAAGGGGCAACCGTGACGTAGAACTCAACACTTTCCTAAGCAATAACTGAGTTCTCTTCTTAAGAGCAGAGCTCCTCTTTCCTAAGTAGTAACAGTTCAGGTATTGCTGTTTATTATTGCTTTGGGAGGAATGGCATCATTGCCCCCAGCTTCGACCACAGCAAATTTGGGTGGGGTTGGAAGGGTGGTGCCCAAATTCACTTCAGAAACCTGGGGGGTTAAGACAACAGCGGTGGCTTCAAACTGGAGAAGAACAATGTTGAATCTCAAGCACAAGTTCTGTGGCTCTGAAGTGGGAGGTTTACCTGCAGGGCATCTTGCAGAACTCTTCTGGGTCTCATTAATCAAACAGACATGATAGAGGCACTCGTGAAACTTAACAAAAAACCCCAATATATTCCTAGTGCTTCATTCCGTAAATCATCAACAAAAGTCAAAGGAAAGAGATTTTAAAGCCTTCCACCCGTTTCAGCTCCCCACTCTTATACTGCCTGTTGGCCTTCCAACGCACAACACTCATCTGAGTATGAATTTTAACCATCACACATAAGACTTCGTGCACCTAAACTTGCTGCTTGCAAGTATCCCGAGAGGCCACCTGGAAGCCTCAGACACTTCAGAGCCTTTCAACCCCAGCCCAGAGAATCACTTCCAAAAGCCACAAGAGGAACCAGGACCGAATGCCGTTGGCTTTCACTGAGACCAAGGCTGATGAACACCACAGCTCATGCACAGCACTGGGGTGGAGTAGGGGAGAATGTGACCCTTGAGGGGGACTCAAATCATGGTTGGCCAAGGGTGAACCTACCCTTGAGAGGGACTCAACTCACAGTTGGCCAAGGGTGAAAGTACACATAAGGGGAACATAAGCCAAGAGTTATCCGGATGTGTGGCTGCAGCTGGAGCATGGGCAGTGATTTCTACAGTGGGGAAATGGGGAACCTTCCCTTCCTAAAGCAGCTGGAATTAGAACAGGGTGCCCAGAGAAGCTGTGGCTGCCCCATCTCTGGCAGTGTTCAAGGCCAGGCTGGACACAGGGGCTTGGAGCACCCTGCTCCAGTGGAAGGGGTCCCTGTCCGTGGCAGAGGTTGGAGCTGGAGGACCTTTAAGGTCCCTTCCAACCCAACCCATTCCATGGTTCTATGATTCTATGGAATGAAGAGGGTCTTACAACCCGGTTGTTCTCCCCAAGACACAGAGTCAAGTTCTCCAGACCCTTCTGCCGCCCAGTGCACTTGCTCATGACGAGCACTCCCGGGGAGGTGTGGGGAGCAGGGTAGCTCCATTTTTGCTCACAATAAACCAGGTCATCTCTTCCCATGGCCTCCCTCCAGATTGCCACACACACGGCAGCTGCCTTTCTCAGCAGGCAGCATGGCTTGGTTGGAACATCCCACACGGAGGCTCCACCACGAGGGGGAAGATCTGTTAAGTCAGCCAAATGCCTGGCTGCTGACCACAGCGAGCACGTACAGATAAGACGCCCAGATTGAGTCACTCTGACGTCTTCAGACACGATGGGGAGATTACACCAAACCTGGAGTCACTTCTGCCTCCTCCAGGTAAAACTCGACAGACGGCCCGGGCTCCGGCCGTGCCTTCAGATCTCTTTCGCAAGGAGCTGTGCACAGCACAATCATCCCCACCATGCAAAGTGTGAGCACTGCAGAAAGCTGAAGGGAGCCCGAGCCAGGCTGCAGCTTCGGCTCTCACACAGCCAAGAGCTGCAGGCAGCAGAGACGAGGGTGTCGCAATGACTCCTCACAACAATACCTACAACGCCGTGTTTCAGATTATAAAGCAGAGAAGAAACAGAGTCTTAAACTTAAGAACAAAAATAGGTGACTCTTGCCCCAAGCCAAACCCTAAAGTGCCTCCTGGCTCAGCCCCAGCTTCTCAGAGGCATCGTCTTCTGTTTCGGCCAAACCCAGGCACGTTCCCAGCTCCAGCCACTGGTGATGGGCTTCCAAGGGAGGAGAGGTGCCTCTTCCAAGAGGCCTCACGCCGTTCCCCACTGCCTTGCTTGCACCTCTGCTGGGTCTGCAGCTTCCTGACCTTCTGTGGGGCCACCGGCAGCTCCCAGCGGGTGGTTGTGGGACTCCTGAAGCATCATTGAAAGTGGTTTCTGCCTCTGATCTCTCCTTGTGGTGGAGGAGCAGGAGCCCAGTGCAGATCAAACACACCGGCTCTCCTCTCCCGTTCCCCCTCCTCGAGCTACACCAGATCCCTCCCACTTGTAAAGAAGAGACACTGGGGGATGAATGGGCCGTTGAGGGAGCTGATGGGAACGTGAGCCCACACTGTTGGGTGAGTCATGTCTGTAGAGCTCTTCATTCATAGAATCATAGAATAGCTAGGGTTGGAAAGGACCTTAAGATCATCCAGTTCCAACCCCCTACCATGGGCAGGGACACCTCACACTAAACCAGGCCACCCAGGGCTGTGTCCAACCTGGCCTTGAACACTGCCAGGGATGGAGCATTCCCAACCTCCCTGGGCAACCCATTCCAGTGCCTCAGCACCCTCACAGCAAAGAATTTCCTCCTTAGATCCAATCTAAACTTCCCCTGTTTCAGTTTGAACCCGTTACCCCTTGTCCTGTCACTGCAGTCCCTAATGAAGAGTCCCTCCCCAGCATCCCTATAGCCCCCTTCAGACACTGGAAGCTGCTCTGAGGTCTCCACGCAGCTTCTCTTCTCCAGGCTGAACAGCCCCAACTGCTGGTCAGTGAATGGGAGGGTGAGGTCGTGGTTCCCAAGCACTGGGTGCCAGGAGCTGTGCAACAACCACAGCCCCTTGTCCACCAGTGGTAGGTGCTTGGCCAATGCTCCTAGCCCTGCTCCCAGGCAGCTCCAAACCTGCCCCACCACCACTGACCACAAGACTCCTTCCATTGCCACCTTCCCCTACTGCAAAACGAAGTCCACTCGGAGGCAGGAAACTCAGATGAGCTGACAACAGTGTGTTATTGATCTGATTCCTGTTCCCACCCTGCTGCTGATCTCCACCATCAATCAACATGTTTGGGTTTCTATTGGTTTTGCCACCCTGCACTGGCTGCATTCCTGCACAGGTCGCATAACTTTGTGGTGGTGATCAAGCACTGGTTCTTCCTGTGCTAAAAGTCTGGAATCCAAGAGGGAGATGGATCAAGTCCCTTTCCCAGAGCAGCAGCAGGGTTTGAACACATCACCCTGGTAACACACGACATGGGGAAGAGGGCCTTGAGGGGATTAGTCTGGATAAAGGCTGATCCCTAAATATTGGCTCATCGCTCCAGTGGGTGCTGGATCCCTCAGTGATGGAGGTTTCCAGACACTACAGACGGGGACATCCACTGTGGAAATGAATATATGGGATGCCAAGGATGGGGCTCTGTCTGGACCTGCCCAAACCATTAGCAGCCTCGTAAATTCCTCCAGTTTGGGCTCCCATTGCCCCAGCCTGCTCACATTTAATGACACGGTGTGACTTGAGCACCCAGAACCCACCACTCCAGGTAAGGACTTGTGCTCCCAGGCGCTGCAATGACTGACCAGAGTCAAGAGGCATCACTCATGCTTAGACACTTGCGTGGCACCATTCCCACAGCCATTCCCTTCCCTCAAAGCACAGCCACAACACGTTGAGCAGAACAACCCCAACCTTCCCAATGCAACGACACAAAAGCATAGCGAATGTTCTCTGCGATTTATTGGGAATGGCAACATCCCGAGGAAGTAGGGTTGACCAGACAGGAGAGGAAGGGAGGTGGGGACAGCACATCTCGCTCCATGTCACAAGGCATCGGGAACAAGCTTTGTTCTCCTGAGGAAAAGTCCACGTGTGACCGGGTGTCGTGGAGAGCAAGGGCGAGGGGAATGCAAGCCACAGCTTGCCCCACGCCGACCCAAAGGCTGGTGAATGGAAGCGGTGGATGCAGCACATGCAGAAGCACCCGGGGGGCCACGGCCGTGGAGGAAGAGGAGCACAGAGGAGCTTTATACACGCTTGCACGGGCAGAGCCCCCGCTCCTCCGGGCCGGGTGCCCAGCGGGGACCTTCCTTTGCCCGGGGGTGGCTCCATCACGGGGCTCCCCGCAGGGCCCGGCCCGGCCGGAGGAGCCGGATGGCGGTGGCACAGGCGAGGGACCCAGTCCGTGTGGCTGCCGGAGCCCGGGGCTGGCTGCGGGGAGGCTGGGCTGCTGCCGGGGGAGCGGGGGAGACGCCGCTTTCCTTTGCCGGCGCGGCGCGGGGCTCAGAACCTCACTCCTGACGACTTGACCGAGGTGGTGGTGACACATCTCCGCACGGAGGACGAGCCCCCCCCGGAGCTGAAGCTGCCCCCGCCGGAGCCGCACATCCTCCCGCTGCCGGAGGAGAAGCCGCCGCCGCCCACGAGCATCCCTCCTCCCATGCCGCAGCTGCCGCCTCCCATTCCCATCCCTCCTCCCATTCCCATCCCTCCTCCCATTCCCATTCCTCCTCCCGTGCCACAGCTGCCGCCGCCGAAGCCTCCTCCCATGCCGCTGCCTCCTCCGAAGCCGCCTCCCATTCCTCCTCTGCCGCCGGTGATGGTGGTCCTGCCTACCACCGCTGCAAGAGAAGCAAGCGCAGGTTACACACACGTCCATCCTACCTCCAAAGGACACGGGCTGCTAGTCCTGGTCAAGGAAGCAGAGGCAGATACTTACAGACGTTGACGTTGGACATGCCATCGTTGCACAGCCTGTGAGGGAGAACAGGAGCAGTTATTCCACAGGGAAATGCACGTCTCTTTAGCTGAGGATTTCCCACTTTCCACCAGGTCGGTATTCCCGACTTGTCTAAAATTCCCAGTTATTCTTCAAAGCAAATGAGCGAGTCTGAACTAAGCATTCCCATGAGCAATACGTAAAAGATGCTTCAGAGTAAGGATTAGAGCACCAGCGGTACGGAATTCACCTTCAGATAAAGGTTTTAACACAGCCAAGGGTTTAGTCAAATAGACACAAGGGAGAGGTACCTGTTCTCCTCTCCCTCCAGCAGCTT